GAAGGGTGGCTTGTTGACCGGTTGTGAATCTACAATATGTGAATCATCAATGTAATAGGCACCGAAGGTTGAAACCATTTCTTTGTTGGTTGCGTCGGGAATCGGTAGAGATTCTTTGAGGATCGTCTCAAGGATGTTAAACCTTCTAACGAGTCAAGCTCTGATGCCAATTGTTGGGATTTGCAGAAGTTCGAATCGATAACCGAAAGGGTTCACCAAGAGGGGTCGAGTCGGTTATTGTGTTTAAGGAGTAAGGAGATTAAAAGATAGGAAAATTGCATAGCGATTTATAGTGGTTCGACTTCTCAACCAAATCTACATCCACTACCTTAGCTTCTCACCAAGGATTTTCCAACAAATTCACTAATTTGTTCTTTCTTTTTACAAGACAAAGAGATAACCTTTACAACTCCCTAGTTTTTAACGGGCTAAACTAGAACATTTTCCCTAGCTTTTAGCAGCTTACTAGAACCAAAAACCTCATTACAATGAAAGGAAGTGTAAACAAGAAAACCTCTTTAATGTAGGTGTTTACAAGAATTAAGCTCACTAGAACAAAATATTTACAAGAGAAAGATGAAATAAGATTGAAAAACTCTTCTCTTGTGTTTGATTGCCTGGATAGTTGTTCTCTATATTCTTCAAGTGTTCTCAGCTTGTTTTATAGCTTGAAATGAGTTTGAAGTCGTATCTAGCCGTTGGGGATGTTTTGGAGCCGTTGGGTATTCATTTTCTGTAAAATAAAACTTCCCAGAACAAGTAGTATCGGTACTCCTTCAATGAGTATCGATACTACCTTTGTAATATTTGACTTTTTGACCGTTTGACTTGATATTACTTTAGCAGTATCGATACTACTATAGCAGTATCGGTACTAATTTTGCATTCGATGTTTTTGAGCATTGATACTGTTCATTATTGTTCACACAGTATCGGTATTATTCATACAGTATCAGTATTGTTCATTCAGTATGGTACTATTCATAAAAAAAATTTGTGCTCAATTCCAACTTAAATAGACTTCGAATTATTTTTGAAAACTATGAATAAATTTAATTCAAGTCCAAAAACATTTTGCCACAAATTGTTATATCAAAATATAGTTCAACACATATTTTGAATTTTAATGATCTAATGATATAATTAAAATAAAAACTAAAAGTTATTAAAGTTAGGAAATGCATACAAATAGAGTGACAAAAGAATGCTGAATAAATTAATCATCCACAAAACATTTGCAGTGACAAAACGAAGGAAAATTCACCACAGGCAATTCCAACCCTTTTCTTTTCTTCAAATTTCATATATAAATATCATATCTTCAGCTGTTTTCGTATCCCCTCCCTCCATTTGCCATTTCTCTCGGAAGTTGAGCAATGGAATCCACCGATAAACATACCACCGCCTCCACACCGGCATCCGAAGCGGCCGCCGCCGCCAAGTATTCTGCTCTGGATGTTGTTCTTAGGGTGTTGTTGTTTGCTGCATCCGTACATGCTGTGGTGGTGATGGTTCTAGCAAGCAATCCGAGATGATTCCGGTGCCGGGCTTGCCGCCTAATATTAGGGTGCCTGTTTCAGCCAAGTTCAACCATTCTCCTGCCTTCATGTAAGTCTAATTTATATACGAGTCAACATTCGATCGAATAAGTTAAGTAAAAAAAATTAAAATTGATCGGATTGATGAGTTATATTTAATAACTTAATTTTGATTTAATTTTTTTATTTAAAAAATTTGGAGTCTTTCATATCTGGTGTTTTAACCCGGGACTTTAAGTAGTGGGAATTTGGTGATAAAGTTTGGAAGGACTAACTTAAAATTTTAAAAAGTTTAGAGATTTAAATTAAAATTAAAATTTTATTTTGAAAAGTTTAGTTTAATTTTTTGTAAAAAAAAAGAAATTGATGTTGAGCTAAAATTTTTAAAAATTTGAGAGGCTTAATGAGGATTTTTAGAAATTACTGGAGGAATTTAATTAAGAATATTCAAAAAGTTTAAAGTTTAATCTGAATTTTTTTAAAAAAATTGGAGATAAATTAAATTTTTTTGAAAACTTTAAGTGTTTAAATTATAATTTTTTCAATTTTAGAGGTAGCCCTACTAGTTTTCATTCTGTTCCGCCTTTGATTTTAAGGGATAACAATTATCTATTAACTATTAAGGTCACTTGGTTTGTGTTTATCAATAGAAAGGCTTTTATGAAAAAAAATTAGGGTGAATGCAAGATAATATATATTCAAATGCACTAAACCTTTTGACAATAAACGTTCATATATCTACATACGCAATGCTTAAATTTAAAACTTTAAAAGATAACAACAAATTTATTAATCATTAAAGTCGCTTGATTATTTATAAATTCATTTGAAGTTTATTTTTTGTGTTTGATACGAGTGTATTTAATTTCTATTAAAATTATTTAATAAATAATATATGATTTGTGCAGATACTTTGTAGCAGCATTATCGGTAACGGGATTATACAGCATTATTACGACTCTGGCATCGATTTTGGTCTCCCGCAAGATCAAAACCATCTTTCTCCTCTTTGCATTATTGGATGCGGTAAGCTCAATTTAAAATTTTTGATTTATTCGAGTTGAATTATTTTAAATTTATATATGAGGTTTGTATTTTTTTAATCAAACATTACGAATTCAGAACATTTTGAGTTATTAAAATTCTAGATTTGAACCACTTCGATTAAAGAAAAATAGAGTCGATACCCTAACAGGTTTGTTTCCAATTCTGATCACATGACGCAGATGTTTGTGGGGATTGTTGCCTCGGCCACCGGTGCAGCTGGAGGTGTCGCTTACATCGGATTAAGAGGTAACAACCACGTCCGGTGGAACAAAATCTGCAACACTTTCGACACGTTTTGTCGGCGCATCGGGAGTGCGGTTGTTTTCTCGTTGTTCGCCGCCATCTATCTGGTGTTGCTCAGCATGATCACCATCTTCACACTTTACAAAAAGATCCGTTGATATTGTTAGACATACCGTTCTTACAATCTTGTGTCTGGATTTTAGTAACAACGTTTGATAATGTCGGTTCACTGTGTGTGTGTGTTCATCTTTGGGAACTACTTAGGAAATGTTTTGATGGTAAATGAATGTCTTAATTTATGTTTTTTTTGGTAATTTTTCTTTTTCTTTTTGTTTATAGTATGATTTCTTTTAGTTTAAAAAATTTCCAGCTATTTTATTTAAATTATTACCCTTAATTTATACTTATTGAACAAATGATCGATGAATATGTACAAATCTTGAATATGAGCCTCTGGTCAAATTATTAATTTTCATTAGTTCTAATAAAGTTTACAAATTCTTACATAAAATTTGTTAGAATTCAAGATGGACTAGAAATTTCAAGTCAATTTTATTGACATGAAATATACAACAAGATGAGATCAAAAAAGATGATTTGATGAGTTATACAACAACGTATAACCTAAATCTAAATTCGACCTATTCCAAATTTAATATTTTAAAATTTTCATTTGAATCCAACTTTTTTATAAAAAAAATTAATTCAATTTAACCGAATAAGATTAAAACCCGTCGAATCTGAATAAAATGATCATCTCTATTTACGACGTTGAGATGAATAAAGTTAATAAAAATACAAATTGAGCTCAAATTGAGTACTTTAATCAGCTTCATATAGAGTTTTAGTCTTTCCTTTTACGTTTAAAGTCAAAGACAAATGATATATAAGAGTATGAGCATTCATTGTCAAAGATATGTAGGTATAAACACGAACCAAACGACCTTAGTAGTTAAGGAATTTGCTGTTATCATTGGAGGCCTCGATTTCGAGCACATCATATGTAGGAGTGTGAACATTCATTTTTAAAAAGAATCTTTGAACATATACTATCATGTATTTACACTAAATTTATATAAAAAAAATTAAGAGACAGTTAGAATACCAACATAAAAGGACAAATTTTAATTAGCAATAGAAGAAAAAAAAAAGAATAAAAGCAAAATAAATTAAAATTGGGGTCCAACTAAATATATATTTCAATTATATTGTCACTGCTTAAATTTGGGATATATTTGTCATATTTTGATGGGTAAATGTACTTTTTGATATTAAACTTAGTTATAAATTTCAATCCCATAATTAAATATTATTTTGTCTAAAATTTAATTTTAAGATTTAATTTGTCATTTAAGTTTTTATGTCTAGTTAGATACTTGAACTTGGTGTTTAATACAAATCGGAATTAACTATTTAGTACATATCAATACCTATAATAAATGATTACTTTGAATCAATTTGGACTAGAAAGTCAAATTAAACTATCTAATTGGACTAAAAATATATTTTAGGTATCAAATTGAACTTTTTAATTCTTCAAGTGCAAAAATTAAACTTTAAAACCAAGTCTAGGTACCAAAATAGATATTTAGTTTGTTCGTTGCTATCCCCATGATTATTAGTGGGCAGAGATGGGCATGGGGCGAGACGGGCCGATATTTTGGCCACTTAACTCCTATCCGAAAATATTTTATTAATATTTGACTCTGTTCTACTTCGATAAATTTTAGTTTTTTTTTCTTTCTCAATCCGTCCTACCTAAATATATCAATATTTTAAATAATTAAAATAATATATTTTATAATGATATATTTATAATCATTTATTATATTTTATAATAATTTACTATATTTTTAATAATTAAATAATATATTCTAACACTATAAAAATAAAAATATTAAATATACTATATATTTTATATCAAATTGGTAAAATCATAGATTTTTCACTTAAATTCGACTCCATCCCATCCTATCTTATCCCGAACCCCAAAATTTCAAAAAATCGTTCCTGTAAGGTCGATCGGGCCAAGATTTGTCGGGTTTGGATATTTTGATCATCCTTAATTCTGTCCCGAAAAAGCCCATTGGGTCGAGGGAAAGGTCAAGCAGCTAAATCGACGCAGTTTCTGACTTTAAATCTCAAGTAAGCTCACAAGCCATCCCAAAACAGACGCCAAACTCCCCACGTTGCAATAAACGAACATCAATACAAGCTTCCCATCTCCAAAATTTTCAGACAAACCCCCAAATTTCCACTTTAAAAATCCAAAACAAATCCCCAAAACCCAGTAATTAGCAAAAAATAGAAACCATGAATCAATCAGATTACTCATACGGTTCGCTCCCAAACGATATAGCTCTCAAAATCGCTTATTCGCTTGAGGTTTGCTTGCTTCCTCTCATTTCACTGTTCTCTTTTGTTTTCTGTTCTTTCTTTCTGGATATTGTTTTATTGTCGGTTATTCGGATTTTTAGGTGCCGGATCTTTCCTCCTTGAGTTGCTGCTCTCGGGTTTGGCGAGAGATATGCGGGTCGGATTGTTTATGGGAATCACTTGTCAAAGAAAGATGGAGTCTTTTGTATGAAACTGTGAAAGACCCTAACTTCAAGGTTCTACTTTTTGTTTGGTTGGTTTAATTTTTTACGAATGAAATATCGATATCGAATGACTGTATATAACTTTATGCACTATCAGTGAGCAAGATGATCACTCGTGTTATTAGAACTGATTTAGTGATATGTAATTGTTTATGAGTGAAATACCGATATGGACTGACGATATATTATTTTATGTACTATCAGTGAACAAGATGATCACTCGTGTTATTAGAATAGATTTAGTGATACGTAATTGTTTGGTTCAACGATAGTGTATAGAAATCTATGCATCAAATATAAATCCGAGTGAAATATCTGGCGTATTGATCTTGGAATTGTTGGTTATAGCCAATTTTCTTTGGTTTCTCGTATGTCGATTAATTATGCTTAATTGCTTTTGTTTCGTTGCTTTGAAGTGGTATACGTAACTTCAAATCATCTAATTGAGTCTTCAAAGTACTTCTATTGTATCAATTAGGTCTTTTGTCAGTCTAACCATTAGCTTGGCATTAAATGCAAGCTCGGATCTGACATAAAATATATTTAACACGCATGACATCAATTTGTCCATCCAATTGATACATGTTTAAGTTTTGATCATATACTTGAAGTATGATCTATGTTAGATACGAGGTAGCATATAATGTCCAAGGTGGTGACTAGGCTGATTGAAGGACCTTATTGATAAAATATTGATACGTTGAGGATTTGATTAAAATGTTTTAAAGTTTAGGATCGGTTTACAATCCTAAATTGTTGAGGGAAAGAAAGTTTTTTTTCCCTCATACTGAACATGTTAGTGCTGTTGATTAATAGGTAACTCAATTCCTTAGTATTGGTTTGAAATTTGTGAAAATTTGATGATAGGATTGGCGGGGATTCTATGTAAAGCAGCACGAAGAGAAGAAGGCTCAGGCTGCATCTGTTGTTAACGTGGTGGAACATTGCTCACAATCCGAGTCACTTGAGATTCTCGACTATCTGCAAGCGATTGAATGCCTGAAAACAATGCATTTTGGATTCAAAGATGTTCAAATGCTGCTCTTGAGACCAAGGCTGAATGTTCTGCTTAACTTAATCGGACTAAATTACTGCCTTAACATCCTTCAAGTGCCGGTAACTTTTCCCGTTTATTTTGTTTCTTTGAGATAGTGTTTTTGCCGTATCCTTTAACTGTTAAAACCGAGAACATTGTGTTCTAGTGAAATATTTGGTTTAAGTATTAAGTGATAGTTTATCAGAATCTTTGGTTTAAGTATATTGAAGACTGGTTCTAATGAGCTTTGAAGAATTCAATTCGTCAATAACTAGTGGATCAGAAACTTCTTTTATTCGATGACGATAACACGAGATTAAATGATTGAATGTAAGTTGGTATGAATCGAACAGCTGAACCGATCTGCTATTTCTTAGGTAGTGATCTTCTGTATAGATTTTAACTCCATATTTTTTGATGTGTTTTGCAATCAATGTGTTCGGCCTTGCTTATTATGCTTCTGCTGCTGGGAACGTGTATATATAGAATAACTCAGAAAATTTAGTACACTCGTATCCATTTTACTCACTTCTGATTTTAGCACCTGAGTTTACAGGCTGTTCATATCGTGGAAGCACTTCGGAACAGTAAGATAGCCGACCGTCAAGTTTTTGTCCAATGGTGGAAGCCTGGGAGATGGTTCTATGGCTTCCGCATCCGAAATGATTCTTTCCGTTGTGTCTCTCTTGAAGATCTTGCGGTGGAAAAAGACGAGGAGGTTCTGGCGGTCCTCGAACCAGAAACTACTCATGAGCTTTTGACAACAGTTCAGATATCCGTTGTTAATTCCACGAGCAATCTCCAGGCTAGCCAAAGCTCACCGTGACTGTGATTGTAGGCAGCCAGACGTTTTTCAGGTGATGTACATATAGTGTTCATTTCATAACGTTATAATTCTATCTTACGGGACTCGAGTTCAAGCATAAGTATCCGATACAGATATGCCGTTGACGCAGGTTTCTTTAGTATTTGTAAGTTTTCTATGATTTTCTAGTATCTTTAGAGGGTCATCTCTCTACGAATACTTCAATAAAATTTTCTAGAATTTGTGATATTCAAGCAAAGCTGAAAATTACCAGATAGATTAAACACATGCACAAACAGTAGATTGAATCCAAACAGAAAATTTCTCCAGAAAATTAAACGAATAGCTTGTATAGATTCTTACAAATGATCTATTTATCTCCATTTTTCTGGATCGAAGCATTCATCGGTATCGGTAAACAGCATAAACAGTTGATCGTGGCCGAGGGTTGCAGAGGGCCATCAACAAAATCGCGATGATCAGAACAATGAGAAATCCGGTGAGATTAAGGCCATCGTCTGATTCTTCCACGCAACAACGTTTTCCCATTGTCGATATGCTTCTGCCTCTCAGCCAGATGTTTTTCCTTTGTTTATATAAATATACACACACACATAAGTCAATGGGGAACTTCAATGGTTTTATTTGTGGAATTTGGTTTATGTGAACATTGGAATGCAGATTTCTAATATCTGCTCTTAACTATTGTTGACCTGGTAAAATATTGATTTAGAACAAAATTTTCATGGATAGGGATGGGCACAGATCCAAACCGATGGGTTCTGACCCGATCTGATTAGGTTGGGTTCTAAAAAATTGGTTTTGGTTTTGGGTTCGGGTCGGGTTTTTTTAGAGGTTATGTTTGGGTCAGGTTTGAGTTTAGGATGGAAAATACTCTACCTGACTTGGCCCAAAAAATATAATTTTACCTTATATATTTAGAGATAATTACAATAATATCTTTTTATATATTATTATTATTAATTAAATCCTTATTTTTATTAAAAAAAATAAAAAAAATTAATAAATATATTATTTCGGGTTGGGTTCGGATCTAAACTCAAAAAATTGGGTAGAATGGAATGTGTATATTTTTCGAGTCGGCTAGATGGATGATGTATAATTCTTGGGTCAAGTCAAGTTTATCCAAAAACTAACCTAATCCGACCCATATCTATCCTTATTCATGGACCGGGTCGAGAACTAATATCAATGAAAATTATGTGTTCATATACTATGAACTGGGTCGAGACTTGGTATAAAAGGGGGGGGGGGGAATACACCCAAATAACCCATTTTTTAATTTCAAAATAAGATTTTAAAATATCAATTTTATATTAGTATTTTGATTTAATAGTAAAATAAGGGTTTAAATCATGATTTTTGTTGACTTTAAAACTTTAAAGTTTTTTTTTATTAAAATAAGTGTAATGTTTTTATTACGTTAGGATAATCTAGGATTAAGTGTGTGTTTCACATCACTTGTAATAATATTATCGATCGTAGTATATTTTTCTCCTCTCTTTTGTTCATAATTTTTTTCTGTCAATGATTTTTTTTAATAAATCTGTGTTTATTTTTTATTTTGATTTAGATGAATTATTTGTTGTTATCTTTTATGATTAGTAACATTTAGTTTATTTATTTGAAATTTTGCATGCATAATATTATTTTGGATAAATTATAGCATTGACCACTCAATCTTGTAGCTCTTTTCCTTTTACAACCGATTTTTTAATTTTGTCAATCGAATTATCTAATTATTTAATTGTTATAAATCAAACTACTTGCCGTTAAGAGTTAATGGATAGGATAAGATGATGTGGTAGTTAAATATTTTGACATAATTACATATTTTGTCTCTATTATTTATATATTTAATAAATTAAAATAAATTTAACATTTGAATTAAATGGTGTTATGTCACTATTTTATTAGAGAATTTAATTTAATTAAATATATTTATTTTTTATCAATCAGAGACGACACATGTCACCTTATAGATGAAAGAAAAAAATCATGCATAATTGTGGACAATGAGAATCGAACCAAAGCTGTCAAGGAAGACAAGCAATTGATGAACCATTGAGCCAACCAACCTTTGGCTTAAATGTACAATATGTTATATTTTATATTGTACTGTATAAATAATTAACTTAATTTCATAATATTTTATATTCTCAAACTTTAAAATTATTTTTTATCTTAAATTATTAAATATATTTTATTCTATACTTGATTATTTCATTATTATTTTAATTTAAAAATACTTATTTTATTATTATCTTAACTTAAAAATATATTTTATTTTTATTATAACTTAAAAATATATTTTATTCTATCTTAAATTTTAAAAATCTATTTTATTTTGTCTTAATTTAAATCTATTCCAAATATATATTTTATTCTTACATTAACTTATTAAATATATTTTGTTCTTATTTTAACTTATTAAATATATATTAAAGTTATTTTTAAATTAAGATAAAAATAAAATATATTTTTTAATTTAAGAATAAAATATGCATGTTTAAGTTAAAATAAGAATAAAATATATATTTTTAAGTTAAGATAATAATAAAGTATATTGTTTAAATTAAAATAAGATTAAATATCTTTTAAGTAAATATATAAATAAAATATATTTAATAATTTAAAGTAAGAATACAATACATTTTTAAAAGTTAAAATGATAATAAAAGTATATTTTTAAAAGTTAAGATGAGATAAAATATATTTTTAAGTTAGATACTAATAAAAATATATATTTTTAAACTAAAATAAGAATAATATATATATTTTTAATTAATTTGATAATAAAATATATTTAATAAATTAAGATAAAAATAGAAATATATTTTTTAAAGTTAAGATACATAAATTATTCTATTAAAAAATACATAAATTATTATAAAATCAAGTTAATTATTTATACAGAATGATATACATTATATACAACATATTGTCTATTCTATCCAAATCTTGGAATTGGCTCAATAGTTTAGCACTTGCTTGCCTTCCTAATCAGCCTGGGATTGATTCCCATTGACCTACATCATTCGTGATTTATTTTTCTTAAAGTAGAGGGTGACACATATCACCCTCTAATTAGTGAAAAAATATATTAATTTAAGATGAAGTAATTTAATTTAATCATCCAATAAAATGGTGACATATGACACCATTTGATTCGAGGACTTAATTTATTTTAATTTATTAAATATATGACTAAATAGATAAAATATATTGTTAGGATAAAAAAGGCTCAATTTGAAAAGCAGAAAAAGTGGCAAAAGGGGTGAATTGACAAAAATAGTTTAGGGAGTAAGGAGAATTAAAAGATAGAAAGTTTTGTACAACGATTTATAGTGGTTTGACCTCTCAACTAAGTTTATCCACTACCTTAGCTCCTCACTATGGATTTTTCAACAAATTCACTAATTTGTTCTTTCTTTTTCAAGGATCAAGAGTAACTTTTACAACTCCCTAGTTTTTCAATTGGCTAAACTATAACAAAACATCTTTTACAAAAGGAAAGAGAATGTAAACAAAGAAACATCTTAAAGGTAGGGTGTTTACAAAATAAAGCTCACAAGATCAAACTATTTACAGGAGAAAGGAAAATAGGAATGAAAAACTCTTCTCTTGTGTTTGATTGCTTGGATAGTTCTAACCCTTCTTTAAGTGTCTTGAACTTGTATTTATATGTTGGAATGAGTTTGTGGCCGTTTCTAGCTGTTGGGAGTGATTTAGAGCCGTTGGGGATGTTTTCTCTGCAAAATAAAATTGCCCAGTACAGAGGGTATCGGTACTCCTATAGGGAGTATCGGTACTACCTTTGTTATTTTTAAATAAAACTAGTCGTTGAGCCTGACGGTATCGATATTAAGCCTATGGTATCGATATTACTATGTAAAGTAGTATCGGTACCCCATTGGGTATCGATACCATTTTTGCATTCTCGAAATTAAACAATGCTGGTAGTATTGATACTACCTAGTGAGTATCGATACTTCCCTTACCTTTAGTATCAGTACCATATGAATAATATCGATATTGTTCATGAGGTATCGATATTGTAAGAACAGTATCGATACTTCTTGTCCAGAAAAACGTTTTGTGCTCAATTCCAAGTTAAATGGTTTTTGAATTATTTTTGAAAACTATGAATAAATTCAATTCAAGTCCAAAAACATTTTGCATTAATTTATTATATCGAAATATAGTTTAACAATCTCTCCCTTTTTGATATAACAAAACATTTGAAAAATTATTTTTGGAAAAACTAGGGGTGTTCATTTTTCTGTTTTAACCGAATTAACCGACCGTACCGAATTAGTTCGGTTAATTCGGTCGACCACCGAATTAGTTCGGTCGGTTAACGGCTAATAAATTTTTTAGAATTCGGTTAATGATTAATTTGGTTTGAAATCCGTTAATTAACCGAATTAACTAAATTAACCGAAATTGAATTTTAAATATTAAATATATTATATATAACATATGAGCTCAGCCCAAACCATTTAAAACCCAATTAATAATTTAATATCCAATAGCTTTTAAACCTAAATCAATATTAATTAATTAAAAAATACATATTAATTTTTTATTTTATAATTTTATAGTATCAATTAAACTATTTTTTTGAATTAAAAAATATTCAATTTTTATATAAATTATAATTTTTTTTTAAAAAAAATCAGTTAATTTTAAATTAATCGAATTAACCAAAATTTATTCGGCTCGGTTAATATTTTCAAAAAAAAAGTTCGATTCGGTTAACGGTTAAAGAAAAAAAGGTTCGGTTAATTCGATTAATGGTAATTCAGTTCGGTCGGCCACCATTTTAACCGAATTAACACCCTTAGGCAAAACTCCCCCTTAATAAAAAATTTAATGAAAAATATGTCAATTGTTGGGAAAATGTTCAGCTCCCCATTTTTCATTGAGAAATTGAATTTTTCAAACACATACTTCTTCCCTTTTTTGTTATATAAAAATAATTCAAATTTAAAGTTGTAAAATAACTTTGGAGAGTAAGTGTAAAATTTTATCATAAAATCATTTGAAAAATTAAAAGCTCTCCCTCAAAAGGTTCATTCCAAACAAAAATTTGACTTTAAAAGCTTGACACTTAAACAAAATTGAATTTCAACAAAGAATAACAAACATGTTAGTAGAACATGAAATTCAATATATCCAAGTTCAAAATACTTTATGCAATACCAATTATTGAAATTAAATACATGTGCATAAAGCCTTCCAAAAATGTTATTCATTTGAAAAATTTGATATCAATTGTTAGAGAGATATCATTTGCATTTAAAATTACATGCATAAACATTTAAATTTAGGTCAAAAACTTTAAAAAAATTTAAAGTCAAAACATTTGAAAAATTGATATCAATTGTTAGAGAGATATCATTTGCATTTAAAACCAATTTTGACCAAAATTCATTATGATG